GCAACGTCTTTGGATGTCACAGCAAATAGAACTCAGACTTCCCCATTCCTAAGACAAAAGGATGGGGCTGTTTGTCCCTGGGGTTGGCACGACCTGGTGCAGTTTGGCAGATCTTTCAGATGTCAGGTTAGGGCGAAACTGGAGAAGCATCTGCCCAGTACATCTTGCGCAGATTACTGGGAGGCATGATTTCTGATTCATTTGCACATAACTTATCCAGAGGGTGTTGCAAGAGTTGTGTGATGGCCAAAGGAACCCAAGGAGTCTTTTATTATATTTTTTAAACAAGTTTCTCTGTTGATTGTCTCTTGGAGCCAAGAAGCTGCATTCTTTCAGCCCCGTGACTTCCAAACCAGGCTCCATAAATCCACAAGCAAGTCCTGACCTTGGCTCCAGGATGATCGGCTCTGACCCTGAGGGTTGATTGAGGAGGGTGCACTGGATCCGGACTGTGGGATAAGTGAAAATCACAGCTGGGAACGCCTAGACCACAGGGACCTTGTACTCACATCTCTACACATCCTGTGGCATCCAACCCCCACCGGCATCAGTGGCCTCTGTGCTCACTTGGTCACAGGACAGGATGGCCCCTCTGTGATTCATGTTTTGAGAGCGGTATGGCAAAGTCAGCAAGAGCACAGTGGTAAGAGCTCTGGAGCCGGACTAGCCACGTTTGCCAGTGACTACTGTGTGACCTTAGGCAAGCTGTGAACTTCTCTGTGTGCCAGTCTTCCCTGTCTATAAGAAGCTATCTATTGCTGTCTAGCAACCACCCCAAAACTTAATAGCTTGAAGCAACAACCACTGGATTGCTCACAGTCCTGGGCAGGAACTGGACCAGGGCTCAGAGGGGAGAGCTCATCTCTGCTCCACATGGTATCAGCTGGGGTGACCCCACAGGGCTGAAGGATCCAAGACGGCCGCACAAAATGCCTGGGGCCAGTGACGGAGGAGACCTTGTTCTCCTTGTGGTCTCCCTCTTCACGTGGCCGCTGCGTGCACAGCAGCCCAGGCTGCTGGACTCCTCCCATCATGGTAGGAACAGTCCAAGAGAAGGAAAAGGGAGCTACCAGACCTCGTAAGGCTTCTGTCATAGTGTCACCCTTACCACATTCTGCTGGATAAAGTGAGTCACAATTGCAGCTCAGATTGAAAGGGAGAAGAAATGAACTCCACCTCTCGATGGGAGGAGAGGCATGCACGTACAGGAATGGGAGGGATTGCCAGGGCCATCTTCACGGATCACCAACCACAAAGGCCATTCAATAGTACTGACCTTATAAGGTTGTTATGAGGATTAAGTAAATTCATATATATAAGGCCTTCGGAACGGTGCCCAATACAGTTAGTACTCCACCAGTGTTTGGTTTTATTATACTTATTCTTGTGTCATTTCAAGAGCATACACAGTACATATTTACCCAGCAACGTAGTTGTCAGTAAACCAGGGACCCTAGTGATGTGTTGCCTCCTCCCAGCCCTAGGCCCGTGGGTATCAGTGCCATCTAGTCGTGAGGTCTGTCTGGGCACCCCTGGGTGTTCCCCGTTCCATGTCGCCACACAGCTTCAACTTCCCTTCGTGAGGGACGCCTTTCCCTCTGCTATCTCAGACTTTCTTCCAAGGGTCACCCGGCTTGGAGGCTGTTGACTCCTCATTGACCCTAGCCTGTTCTGAATTCTTCAGGTCACCATAGAGGTGGTGGACGGTCCTGACTCGGAAGCAGATAAAGACCAGCATCCGGAGAATAAGCCCAGCTGGTCTGTCCCACCCCCCGACTGGCGGGCCTGGTGGCAGAGGTCCTTGTCCTTGGCGAGGGCCAACAGCGGGGACCAGGACTACAAGTACGACAGTACCTCAGACGACAGCAACTTCCTCAACCCCCCTGGGGGGTGGGGCCGTCCGGCCCCAGGCCACCGGACTTTTGAAACCAAAGATCAGCCAGAATATGGTGAGTTGACCACCCAGTAATGTGAAACTGGTGGGGAGAATAAGTGAGGACGGATGAGGCCTAACAGACACGGAGCCAAGCAAAACCCAGTTTACAGTGTGTGGCTTTTGGTCTTCTGTGAGGCGAGCCTCCTACAGGCTCTGTCCACAGAAGCCCCAAGAGGCTCCAGCAGCCACATTTTCTGGAAAGACTATAATTTTAAAATAATACCAATTATCCTTGGAAAGAATTTTCTTTTTAGTCAGGGGCTCTTTAAGGTTCTGCCCTATTTTTCCCCAAACTTTTCTTTTTTGCAAAAATGAAGAAATCACCAAATTAACCCCCTTGCATACTTGCCTGTAAAAACTCATACTGAAAATCAGTTTAGTGAAGGAGATGTGCCCAGCTGCCTCCTCTGACGAGGCAAATGTGTTATGTTGGACGCTAGCAGCAGGGCGGCCCTTGGGGACCCTTATGGACGTGTGTTATCACGCATCGTCACAGTGAGGTCTCCCCACCCATAAATTTCAAAACCTCCAAATGGGGACTTAGAGTTTCCCATGCTTTCAGAGTAGGATAGATGAGATAACAATTTTATTCGATGACTTAAAATAATGAAAGTTTATTTCTCACTTAAGCTGAGTTGGGAGACAGGATCGGGGGGACTCAGCTCCACTCAGTCATTCAGGGACCTAGCCAGGCTCCTTCCATCTTGAAGCTCCACCAGATGTGAGGGCCTGAAAAGTACCCACTGGATGCTCTGCTCAAATTACTTGTCTGGCTGGCAGACGAGTAGAGAGACAGAGTCCAGAAAAGGCACACATGCTCTTAACCCCCTCAGCCTGGAGGTAACCCACCTCACATCTGCTCAAATTCTATTGGCAAGACCTCATCACCTGGCCCCACATAGATGTGAGGGAGTCTGGGAAATGTTCTCTGTGTGTCCTAGATGAAGAGGAAGCAGGTTTGGAAAGCACCTGGCCAGGCTTGGTGAGGAATCAGGCAGTGTGCCTCACGTTGTAAAAGTCCTTGACCTCTTACAAATGCAGCCATCATCATGATGTTCTTGTGGGTCAGCACCTGCAGATGTAGGAGCAAACACTATATGATGGAGATGACTTGCCTGGCACCATGTGCAAGCTCACCCTTACCCCCATTTTTCAACAGAAAGATGAGTTGTATATTGGACAGTCATTTCTGCCTGCTAATAGATGAACTTAGGCCACTTCCAGAAGAGTAAGACAATTTTTTTTTCTCCAGCCACATCATTCATTTGTTCAACTGACACTGACCACATCTTATATCCATCACTACGCTAGGTGCTGGAAAGCCAAAAATGAGTAAGACACGATTCTTCCCTAAAAGGCATCTCACCTACCTATGGACAAAAGAGAAAAGTTAACTGAGAGAGCAAAAAAGTGCCATGGCAGAAGTACACATCAAATGCTATGGGGGTAGAAAGAGAGTTCCCATACCCCATCCAACCAGGAGGGTCGTGAAACCTTCCGCTTTCCCAGAAGAAGTCCGATTTATTTTCCAAGAGGAAGGATTGGGAACAGTAGCCAACCTTTATATAGAACTTGCCATGCATAGTCCGTCTTCACAGCACCTCTCATATTTTGGCCCATTTAATCAGCTCCCTGAGGCAGGTACCCCATTTCATAGATGGGGAAACTAAAGCCTGGAGAAGGTCAGCAACTTTGGTCTCAAGGGCCAAGATCTAGGATTCATCTCAGACAGCCTGGGTCAAGAGCCTGACCTCTTAACCTCTTAACCACTATGTTATTCTGCCTCGGGTTGTGGGGTGGGGCGGGGAAAGCGTATCTGTTCGGACAGTAGAGTGGATCTAAAAAGTGACAGATTGGAAAATAGGATTGGAAGGAAAAGTCCAGTGCTGAACTGAACTGTTGGACAAGAGCTGGAGACCAGCCCAAAACTGCACAGGACTGCAGTTTAACAGGGCTGCCCAGCCCACATGGAACAGTGTTTCTCTGAGTGGAGCTCAGACCCTCGACATCAGAATCTCTGGGTGCATGTTAAAATTTAACACCCATCCTGGGCCGCAGCCCCTTCCCTATATACGAGCATTTCTCAAGGTGTGGTCCCCATGCCAGCTGATCAGCATCACCTGAGGCTATGATAAAAATGCAAATTTTCAGGCCCCACTCTCAGCCACTCTGAGAAGGCTCCTCCAAATCTATCTTTGAGCAAGCGCTCCAGGGGCCTCTGATCTGAAATAGTGATGCCCAGTGCACCAGTGTTTCTCAGTAAGGTTGCTCATACTCACCTGCACAATTTTTTAAAAATCCCAATGCCTGGACTTCTCTCAAGATCAATTAACTTGGGATCCCTGGGGGTGGGACCCAGGCATCAGTGTTTTTAAGGCTCCATCGGTGACTCCAATGTGCAGCCCAGGTTCAGGGCCACTGTTGTCCTTCTACTGTATCAGAATATACAGGAATGTTTCTTCCTCATTTCTTCCTTTTTTCAACCATGGTCATCTGGGGATTTGAATGCTCACTGCAGTTTGAAGACCACCACTTAGAAACAACTTTTTCATCTAAAGCATTTGAAGAATATATTCCGCCAGATTTATGAATATTAAAAATACCCCCTCCATTTCCACCTTGAGGGTAGAATTTGCTTCTCCTGGACCAGTTACAGTGGCTGCCTCTGCCACCTTCACCTCACCTTTCTAGACCTGAAGTTCCTGGAGGGAACCCTGCACCTGAACTTTCCAGCATCGCTGGAAGAAACGCCCATCTTTTATGATGTTGGAGTCTCCCTTAGTAACATCTCCAATGTTAGGCTGGATATCAGGATTGCTACTTTATACAAAAAATCTTGGCCCTTATGATACCTCTAAAGCAGTGCTTCTCAGAACTTCATGTGCACACAGATCACTTGGAGGATGTTGGTGAAAGCAGCTTCTGATGCAGTAGATGTAGGAAAGATGTGCAGCCTTGGTGAAGCTGACGCTGTTGGCCCTCGGACCACTTTGAGCTCAGTAGCATTGCAAAATGGATGAGTGATTGATTACTGCTTCTCCATCAGGCTGACAAGGGACTTGAGATCTCCGAGTTCCTTACAGCATCAGATGAGTTGAGTCCTCTTTCATTTAAACCCACAAGAACATACAGAGAAATTTCTAAGTATTTATCTCTATGTCGAGTAAAATAAAAAATAGTACACTGTGGAGGATACAAGGAGAGAAAATACAGCCCAGAAAGGTGAGGTCCATGCAGAGGCAAAGGAGCTCAAATACAAGGACTTGCCCACCTGTCTGAGGCCAACTAAACTTGCCACAGGAACTGGTCTTTGTGGGAGATACTGAGCTCAGATTTTCAAAGGTAGGATTTTTAATAAATTTAAATGCCTGAGACCAAAGAGAATTGCCAAAAATCCTAGGTGACATAGACTAGAACAGCATCTTTAGAATAAATTCTGAAACACAAAATAGGAGCTAGTTAGACCTAACTTGCGATCATAGAAGCGCATTATGTGACCATGAGTCAGCTCAGCTCTGAACTGTATGTGTCTGAGATACTGATGGTACAACCCAGAGAAAAGAAAGAATCCACATAAATATTTTTCTGTCAAATAGTAGCATACCATCCCCCAAGTTGTTCTGAATACCCTGTATAATGATTTCAGATGGGCACTGCTTAGTGTTTTTGGGGTGGAGACTCAGTTCTTTGCAATTCTCTGACTGATCAGGGTCCTATTTTAATAGAAGATTCCACCATGATTTTTTGTAAGGGTTTTTCTTTGTATTGTTGGCCATATAAGTGAGTATCTTAAGGAAGGGCTGCTTGGACCAGAATCAAAGCTGCTAGAACACCAGGATATAGAATAAGATATGGCACGAGCAGGCAGATCTCAGGTCGGATCCCTACTCTGCCAAGTTTGAGCTGTGTGACCTTAGGCAAGTTTCTTAAGCTCTCTGAGCCTTGGTTTCCTCAATCACAAAAGGAGAAAGTTTCTACCAACTTTGCAGGATTATTATAGGAGTTAAAGCCGTGTGTTTGGACAGAGCGGTTGGTTCCAGTGTGCCCTCAATAAGTAGAAGCCACTATCATTTAGAATTGGTGGTGGAGACTAACCAGTGGCCAAGCCAAGACCCAAGTCACGTCAGTTACCCAAACACTATACCCGGCCCACAGAACTCAAGTGCCCTGAAAGTATATAATGACTACTTTAAAATTTCAAGTGATGTCCTTGAAACCCAGCTTTCAGCCCACTGCACTGGGGAGTGTTCTCTGCCCTCACAGGGGCCGTCAAAGCACCATACAAATGTTTGCAGGGACAGTGTTCTACTGTCTTTGTTGTCATCTTTGTAATTATCGCTGCTTACACTCATCTTCTGCTCTGAGCAATGTGCCCCAGTTTCATTACTGCAGGAAGAAATCCCACCCTCAAATCTTTGTCCTCCAGTCAGAAATTCCCTTTCTGTCCTTTGAACACATAAAATAAATAGTAACCCCCACGAGGAGGTTTGGCTGTGGCATTCCTCTGGGGCTGTATGCTGTAGATGCTTCAGAGCAGCAGGCAGACATGCCCACTTTCCTCCAAGAGGTCGTTTCGCTTTGTTGCTAGCCCAGTAGAAATGATTAGGCACCTGGCTGTATACACGTTCTGTGCCTAATTTGGGGGGACCAGGATAAAAAAAGTGTTTGAAAAATAAATGGCTTTGTGAGCATTTAAAATAAAGACATAGAGAAAGCCACTGATGAAAGTAATACTTCTTCACAGCTCCAAGTCCGCCAGCCGTCGAGGGAGCCTGTTATAGGGAGGATTTTTATGGAGTATTTGTAATAGTCAGCTTTTTCTGCATAAGAAACCACCCCCGAAACTGAGTGGCTTAAAAGTTCAAATGTGTTTCTGAGAGAAGAGTCTGCAGGTTGTCTGGACTATGCTGCTCCGGGCTGGCTTGGCTGAGGTGCGTGGTTTAGCATGGCTTCGTTCACAGTGATGGAGTCTCAGATGGACAGCAGGGGCTGCTGAGATGGCTGGCCCTCTCTCCCCCATCCCTCGCCCTCCAGGATGCTAGCCTGGGCTCTTCGCTTGGTAGTAGAGTTCACTACCACAAGAAGGCCGCCCTAATGCACAAGCACGCTTTCAGCCTGTGGTTGCATCATATTTGCTCTTTCCCCATTGTCCAAAGCAAGGCATGTGGCCTGGACTGGGGTTAGTGTGAAAGGGTACCAACCCAGGGGAGGGTTTGGGGGAAGAATTATGGAAGTCAGTTTTCACATAATCTGACACAGGACTAACGTTCAGTAATTTAGATCCAAGAACCCAAAATGAGAAATTACCTCAGGCAGAGATTCCAGTATAGGTCCCGTGGTGTGTTTAATGCTAAAATCTTGAATTTGGGGGATATTTCCCAAAACTAGCTATCCATTTGACCATAACTGGGGAAAAGGTTGCCAGAAATTTCTAGATGGTTGAGGCCAGCGGGAGACCTCTTGGCATCATTGGATCATGTCTTCACCACACAGGTGACATGGACTTTACTTACATGATTTAATAAGCTTTTTATAACTGACCCACCACCCCCTTTCTATGAGTCTAAGGACAGTATAGTCTTTACTGGTGACATTTTGCTGTGGTGGCTGTTCTTTTTAAGAAACTTTGGCCCCGGGGGGTATGTTCATATGTACGTATAACCGGCTACATCTGGATACACCCGCTGATAAGTGCGCCACCTTGTGATTGCTCCAGGTACACACCTTGTGTTCTGGGGAGTTCACTGAGTGGTCTTGGAGGGAGCAGCCAAGGCCCACCTCTTCAGTGGTCCCTCCAGTTTCACTGCACTGATGCCCAGGTGGGAGGCGGCAGAGATGAAGGCAGCTGATGGGGGGAAGCAGGCCTGTCCCCTCACATGACGCAATCGTTTCAAACGTCTTGGCCGTGAGGTGGGAAAACCATTTCTTAGAAGGAAATAAAGTTTGGAAAAGTTCCTTTTGGGGAGGGAAGAGAAATGAATGAGGTCCTGGGGGCAGGTGAGGTGTGAGCAAACTCTTCACTTTGGGCTAGGGAAGAGGCCTCAACCAGGAACCCCCACCACAGACTCTGTGTAGTGGGCCGAGGAGAACCAATGGCCCGATGTTTGCCTAAGCAGCGTGCAGAGTGAGCATCAGGTAAACAGCAACCTGGGAGATTGGCACAGGGCCCGCGGTTCAGGCAGAAACACGTGTGGACTACATTCTTGCCAGGCCTTCATAGTAACAATCTCTGTGAACTGTTATGAATGGAGTGGACCCCTTCCCTGCTGGAACATGTCTGGGGCTCCGTGCTTGGCACTGGCAGAGGATCCAAGGCTGGAGGAAGATTTGGAGAAAGCAGGAAAAGGCATTTCAGAGTGAAGGTGCTCAGGAAGAGTCATGCTTTAGAGATCAGGGACTTGGCACGCGAGCCCAAACGTTCTTGCTCTCACCCTGATGGCCTTGAGTGGATCACCCAGCCATTTCAGGACTTGGTTTCCTTACCTTTAAAAAGGCAAATTCCGTCTCAGTAATATACCAGCATCTCTCATGCACCCAGGCCCCCCTAACTTGGTCTCCTTCTCTTTTTCCCATTCCACTCATTGACTTCTGAGATACTGCAAAATTCACTCATTTTTTGTGTTTATTGATTATTGTCTGACCCTTTTCACTAAAATATGAATTCTATAGGGCAGAAATCTTTAAAAGTTTTATTTAATGATATATCTCACATACCCAGAATTGTGCCTGACACATAATAGGGGCCCAGTAGGTATTTGTTGGATAGATGCTAAGTGATGACCTCCAAGGACCATGTCTAGCTTCCACCGTGTGTCAGTTATCTACTGCTGCATAACCACCCCCAAACTCGACGACTAGAACAACAGCAGTGTATCCTTTCTCATGATTCTGTGGCTCAGGAGTTCAGGCAGGGCCCCAGTGGACAGTTCCTCTACTGCCAATGGCATCAGCTGCACTCATCTGTCCACTGGGAAGTGGCTGGAAGATCCAGGAAGGCTTCACTCCCATGTGTGGTGTATGGGTGGCCCTCCAGACAGCTCCTCTCTCTGCATGTAAAGGAAGTCATGGTGGTCATTTTGGAAAATCCCTACCATATTATTCCATGGCCCACACTCTGCAAATGTACGCCTTCTCAACAAGCACTTACGGGGCAGCTTCAAGGGGTCAGGGCGTGGCCACGTGCCCCAAACCTCAGACAGAGTCCCTTTCTCCTTGAAGCTAATCCTGAAAATGAACCCTGCAGTCATAAACCCTTTGACTCCAGCTGGCATCTGGCCTCTCCAACAGCTGGAGCAATGGAAGCGGATGGTTGTCAGGCAGCTTGAAGGGAGGACATGGGGACTCTGGGCGAGGCTGGTGACCATCTCCCTGGCTCCCTTCCAGATTCCACAGATGGTGAGGGCGACTGGAGTCTCTGGTCTGTTTGCAGTGTCACCTGTGGAAATGGCAACCAGAAACGGACCAGGTCCTGTGGCTATGCATGTACTGCAACAGAATCTAGGACCTGTGACCATCCAAACTGCCCAGGTGGGTTTACCCCGGGATGTGGCTCCACGTTCAACTGGAAGCTTTATTTTATTTTATTATTTTTTATACAATTTTTAAAGATTATTTACAGTTATTACAAAATACTGGCTAGAGTCCCCATGTTGTACAGTACATCCCTGTCTTACACCCATTAGTTTATATCTTCCTCTTCCCGACCCTACACTGCCCTTCCCCACTCTCCCCACTGGTAACAACTAGCTTGTTCTCCATATCTGTGAGCCTGTGGAAGCTTTTAATTTATATTTAAAAACTTTTACAAATTGACTTTTTACAGGACAACCATTTTTCTAATAAGAATTCTGACCAAACAGGGACAATAAGACACAAGTAATCAGCTTAGTGGCTGAAAAGATGGATTTTCTGAGTCCTATGCACAATTACAGTAACCATGACCTAGAACACAATGCCACCATGTACTTAATTTAAAGGAGGGACTCTGGCAAATTCGGGCCTTTGATGTGGGATTGGTTGTACCTTAAAAAGACACATAAAGACAGACATTAATGGTCTCGCGAGGAAACTAGGAGCAGAGGCTTAACAGCCATCTAGAGAAAAACCATGTGTTCATCCTATTGGTAATGCCTGAGAGCTGCTGAAGGCTCCCAGGGGAGCAAATTGGGGCAACTTGGCCATTAATTATCACTTTAAACTGCATCGTCAATGTTTTAAAAACGTAACTAATTGCAAGCTTGGTGAGAGGCCATATTGGGTTAAAAAATAGTTGTGACTGCTGCGTTATCAAACCACAGCCTGTTTCTGTCTGGCCCACACTTTCTAAAGGGTTGTGAAGAAGAAGGAGGAGGAAGGAAAGGAGGGGGGAGAGGAGGAAGGAAAGGAGGGGGAAAAGAGGAAGAGGAGGAGAAGAATATGCAAGCAAGACTCCATGTGACCCCCAGAGCCTAAAATATTTACTTTCTGTCCCTTGACCAAAAAAGTTTACCATCTCCTGGCTTGTAGTTTTCCACTTACCACATGTTCCCCATGGCCAGGTGGAGTACCAGCCTGAAATGCCATCTTGGGCTCTTCCAAGAAATCCCACATTTCAAATGGCTTCCTCTGAAAGAAATTTCAGAGATGGAACATTTGCTCCCCGCACCCTAGACATCCTGTTTTGACTCCTGGAAACTCTGTTCTCAAACTGTAAGACTGAGACTTAGAACAAAAAATGAAGTCCAAAAGCAAAGGGATTTCTGAGCTGAGAGAGGATGGGGTTGGGCATGTGTGCGACAGCAAAGGGGTGTGTGTGTAGAAAATGGGGCTGACAGGGGAGAAGAGGCTGTTGTGGCCCTGGTCGGCCATGCAGATGGATTTCCAAAAGTGGGACGACCATCAAGATGCTTTTCCTCATCTTTCCTGCATTCATCCTAGTGAAGCTGGACCCAGGCAGCACTCAGTGTTGGGGCTCGGCAGCTTAGCTGGTGCCTAGACCCAAAAGCAGTGGACCAAGAGGTCTTGTCAGGGGATACATTCTCTGCAGCCATTTTGAATGTTTCCTTCTGGTTTTCTCCCCGCAGTGACAGCAGTGTGGCCAGCAGTCCTGTTCATCCATTTTCTTCTCATCTGACCTTGCCCTCTGTTCATCCTTTCTGCCTCTCTGTTCTGACTGCCAGCTTTTCAGGGCTCCCTTGAGCAAGAAGGATCTCCTCTTACAGGATCTCTTTTTTCTTCTGGTTGATTGATTCTCAGCCTCACTGGAAAGATTCAGGAGGCAGGCCATCTCCCGGGCCTGACAGTGATCACACTGTAAAAGTTTGTCCCCTAGGCCAACCATACACACAAGTTCTAGGGGTCTCACGTAAAATCAGAGAGAGCCTATTAAAGGAAATCAAGTCATGCCTAGCAGAACAGCCAAGGTTCTCCAACAAAGGGTCTGTGTTCTACTGCTGCTTCCTTTCCTGGCTGCCTACACTTACATAGGATCCCTGTTTGCAAAGGAAGCCTGGACGGGTTGGAGTCGGGTGGATAGTCTGGGGAGGGGAGGGAGCCAGGAAGTTGGAGGCAAGCTAGGTTTACTGTCTCCGAGTGAGTAATGACCACCCCAGCTTCTTTCCTCTGGAGCATCATCAGCATTGCTAAAAGTCCTAGAATATGAGCAATCAGGTTTCAGCTAAGGACTGCTGCCTTCTCAAAATGAGCTAGAGAAATATTCAAGGGGAAAGTGTCACCCTCACTTACCACTTCCTACTCACAGGGCTCTCTTTACACATGACCCATCTAATTCATTCAACACTGTATGGTGGACCATTTGGTTCTCCCCATGCATGGATGTGAAAACTGAATCATACCAGGGTTCTGTGGCTTGCCCAAGGTCACCCTGCTAGTAATGATTTGAACCCAGTGAATCAGTCCTCAAGACTGGTATTGGCCACACAGCAAGTTATCACTGTGGTCCACAGCCTCCGATTTGGTTTCTATCCTGACACCAGCGGACAGCCAGCCATCCTGACGTGTGTCCCCCAGCGCCCAGAACCCCATTCCTGAGCCCAGGGAATACATTCCTTAGGAACTCATTCAGGCATGTTTGGATCTGATTTCATGCTGCAAATGGTATCTGGGGGGTTAATATATTTTCTGCTCTACTACCTGCTTTTTACTGTTTCCTCTGTTGGCCAGTTTCTGCCCATGAGTAGCGATGAATACAAAAAAGGCTTTGTTCAGGTGTATTTGTTTTTTCTTTATTTGCCAGTCTTGAGGGTGGGGGGCGGTGACTGTTTCCATAGAACCAGGAAAAAATGAGTCCTGTCTGTTTAGGGATTGAAGACACCTTCAGGACAGCTGCCACTGAAGTGAGTCTGCTTGCGGGAAGTGAAGAGTTTAATGCCACCAAGCTCTTTGAAGTTGGTAAGAAGAATTTCTTTCTTTTTCATCCAGATATTGACTTAGTGTTTTAGAGATGCCTTTCACCTTTGCAATGCCATCCTTGTATCCATCTAAATGTTCCATTTTCCTCTTATGGGGTCCAATTCTCTCAGCATATTTCTTCCTCACCAAATATACCCCAAGCAAGAGAGAGCCATCCCAGGCCTCCTGTGCCAGACAGAACCCAACAGCTCTATTGTGTCCACCCTGCCAGGGACACAGTGTCCACAGTAAGCTGGCAGGGACTGCCCTCCCCCTAGCATGGGACCCGTCCAGAGTAAGGGCCTCAAGCCTCATGACCTCTCTTCCCATAGCCCTCCCCAAGGGTCCCCAGTGAAATCAAGGAATGGTGATGTCAGTTTTCCAGCAGAGAGGCGGGGGAGGGAAGAGGAGAAAGGGAATTTTTTCAACATGATGCCTGCCCCCAACCACTGAATTTTTTTGTAAACCGTTGGTGCACCCTGCTACTCATCTACTAGAAAATGCTAGAGCAAGTGCAACAAACATGGAGCACGTGCCTCCTCAGGTGCCAGGGGAAGGCTCGCTTTTTCAAAACAGCATACTTCTGGGTGTAATTCTGTATTGCAGAAAGGTGAGACGTCTTCTGCCCCATTTCTTTTTGCCGCCCCCAGAATTCTTCCTTAGCTTCTTCACTTCTGCCCTCCTCAGCCAAATTGGAGTCAGTTTGGAAATTCAATTGCCCAGGGGCTCCCACCTCAGGCCTCACACAGAACCAAACTGTTTCAGTAGGAGCCTTCTCCAAACACAATGCATTTGATCAAAAAAAAAATTAAAGACTAAAAGCGGGAATTTTCCACACAGTGGTGAAGGAGCAAGACAGCCTTTTGGGGAAAAGAGCGTCTCAGGCCTCCCTGCGTCTCAGGCAGCTGCTTGCCCTTTCCTGTGGCCAGGGGTCCAGTGGCTGCTAAGGACACACAGGGGGGAGACAGAATGGTGGATCAGTCTGGCTCTGGGCAGGAACAAATGTGGCACACACTCAAATCAGGTAGCAGAGGAGCATTTGATGACGGTCCGTTTGCAAAGGTATGAGCAGTGGATGGAGACCAAGAAGGGATCAAACAGACCCCCGGGGCTGGCAACAGTGGAGAGCCCTTATCACCTCCTGGCCTGGAGGGACCAGGAGAAGGAGTGGTTACCAGAACCACAGGGGAGGGCTACCTGACAGCACTTTGGCTCTCAGAAGGATGCAGCCAACCTGTAACAGTGAGGGGGGAGCCTAGGGGACCATACCCTGACCTCGCTCCTTCCTCCCTCCCTCTGGTCTCTGACCAGTTTCTCCCATGGACTCACCCCAATTAGAAGTCAGGGTGCAGAGAGCCCACTGATCCAGTCCACACTGGGCAACCTTCCAGGGCAAGGAAGAATATGGAATGGGGATCTAGAAAGACAGATAGAAGATGCCCAGCAGAGATGAGAAAAGCTTAACTAGCACAAAGTCAAGTTTCTTAACCTACTATGGCCTCAGTTTTCTGACTTATAAAATGGGACATGGTAATGGTGCCTACCTCCTAGATCTGTTGTAGAGTTAAATGAGTTCATACTTGTAAAGCATTTAGAATAGTCACACTGTACACTCCATGTAGTCTGAGAAAAATAAGTCAAAAGATATACGTCTCGTAGGTACATGAAGTATGATGGCCTTCCACCCTGGAGGAAAAATACAAAGCTATTTTCTGGGGTCTCACTGAATTTTGTTTCTGAACACCCTGCCCTCTGAGGGGGGACCCCCACTGGCTTCACAGACACACACGTCCCAGGGTGGAACCTCCGTTCTCTTAGCAGCTGCTCAGTCAGGGGCTCTAGGGGTGGAATCCTAGAACTCGGAGCCTCAGCAGATCCCTGCGGGGGGCACCCTGTTCTGTGTACTCGCTGCCTTCCCTCTGGTTTAATCCTCATCGCATTTTTTGAAAAAGGTGCTATTTTAATCCCCAATTTACAGATGAGAAAACTGAAGCATAGCGAGGTCGAATTCCTTGCTCAAGGTCACAGGGCTACTAGACACCTGAGTTGATTTCGATCCCAGGCCATCTTGCACAAGATCCCATACATTTTATCTTAGGCCAGGCCCTTCTCAGCTCCTGAGAAGTGCCCCCATCTCTCTCTTCCTCATTTCACTCAAGGGAAACCAGAGCCCCACTCCACGCTGCTTCCCCAGTTCTGACCACTTGATTTTTACTCATGACACCACCCGCCTCCCAGGCCCCTGGGTCAGAGCTGGAGAGACCTTCTGATACCTTCTCCCCTTCACCTCTAAGCCCACCAAGGCCTGGCAGCCCTAACTCTCTGACTGCTTCTGATCTCACCTGCTGTTCCCTCCCAGAGCACCTCACCTGGGCTCTTTCAATTGACGTCAGCACTGAATATATCTTCCTACTGAACACTATCACTCAAAGACCTTCTGTGGTTCCCTAGTGCCCTCTTGAACAAGCCTACACTGTACTGAAGACCCCAATGATCTGACACCAACCGCCTCCCTTCCCCATATCCTCTGCTCCAGGGAAAGTGAACGTGTCCCCTACTCCCAGACAACCCCACAAACCCTGGTTTGCACAATTAACACTAATCTGGGTGGCCCCCCTTGCCCCCATCTCTGCTCCTGTAGTCTGTCAGCTCCAGCCCTCTGAGATGGGATTGGACATTCAGGAGACTCCCTGGGGAGGCACTCAGGAGGGCACAGGGGGAAGGCAGAGGAGCAGGCAGGGAGGGCTTTCAGACCAAGGGGCAAACTTGACCCTGCAAAGGGAGGAGGGAAGGAAAGACGACTGGGAGGCAAGGACATCAGGGCAGCTTGAGGAAGTCTTGGCCATGCCAACAGGGCACCCTCAGCAAAGGCTGCTAGTCCCTAGCTGGGCAAGCACCCTCACCACACTCAGTCAGCAACCAGGGGCAGCCGTGGCTTTGATGTGAACACCGACGCAGACGCAGAGGCTGCCAGTCAGCACAGTGCCACAGGGTTCCTTGCAGGAGCTCAGAGCAGGACACCTGGGGGCAACCATGCAGCCCAGCCAAGCCTCAGAACCAGCCCAGGGTCTCACACTCCTTGAAGCACTCCCTGACTTGCACTGATAGAAATGACACTTTGTAACCCCCTTGGGACTCTGCTTTGATGCACCCTTAATGCACCCCCACATTCCACCACGGGTGGCTTCCCTGTATATATGGCTGACTGAGCTCACTGCGCTGCCCGCACAGGTGCCCACGCCCCAGCGGCCCCTGTGGTTCTTTGCCGGAGAACTTCTGGCCCCCAGAGTGCACCAGCCCATGAATGCATGGGCAGCTGGAAGTCCAGGAGCAGCCCCTTATCCGTGATGCGTGGGAGCTGGGGGAGAATGCCCAGATCCCCGCCAAATCAGAAACAAATCTTTCTGCAAAGAGTATTCAAAGGATTATTGCAAGAGGGGAAGGGGCTATTTGCAAGAGAGGGACTCTAGGCCCACAAACATCTCAAGGGTTAGGCAAAAGCGCTTTCCTTTATTGAGGGGTGACTCAGGCTAGAAAGGACCAGGTGTGGGGAAGTGGGATGAATGGGAGGCGAGGGCAGATAATACAGCAGAGAAAGTTTTCCCTTGAGGCCAGCCTGTTTTCCAGGAGGGACCCTTAAGGAGAGTCTGTGTGCTAGCTCAGGCTGGGAGGCCAAAGTTACGGGACTTGAAAGAAGAGGAGAGCTTTAACTAAAGTTTAGTTGAGATGCATTTTGTTCTGACTGATCAGTGGGGACAAGCAGCTTAGCTAATCATTTATGAGGCAAAGAAAGGGAATTTGGAGGGTCTGTGTCTGGCTTTGTCACAGTAAACAAGGGGTCTCTGTGCGTCTTAGCTAAGTGCCACGGGAAGAACGGTTGTTACAGTAAGTGGTTTTCCAGGATGTGCGCAGGGTGCGGGGAATCCTTGACCTTGTTTGTATCCCAGGAACACGGGGTAAAGTTCCAGCCTGTCACTGACGGGGTAACTGAAATGTTCTCTAGTAGGAAGAAGCTCCAGTTTTGTGCGGTGGTTACTTGCTTGAGCCACACCCTATATTGCTGCCCTCCCTTCCCTGTCCCTCCTGCGTGCTCCCTGCTCCCTGCTGGTGTTTCCCGGAATCACCTCCCAGAGAACCATTTTCATAGCATCTTTGTCTCAGGGTCTGGGAAAGCACAAGCTGAGACACGCACTAGCCCAGAGGTGTGGACTCAGATGACTAAGGGACCAAGAACATCCATGAGTGAAGGGGTCAGGCAGGGATGGTCGTGAACTGGGGAACTCCTGCCTCGACAAAGAAGTGGTCACTGGTCGCCTGCTCACAGGGCCACTTGTTCCCGTGGAGCATTGCAGGACCAGCATAAACATCTCTTTTGGTTTTCCAAATGAAACTAGGAATCTACATTAATAACTAGAATCACCTGATTCTTAAATGTTGGCAATTAATCCAATCTTTTTTAATACTGTAAAGGCTGAACAACAGACACCTCTGGGGGCTGGTTCTGGCTTGAAGCCTACAGGTCAGTGTTAAATTCACTAAAAGCTGGGGTGACCAGCTTTACCTCTTTAAGGCATTTTATCACAGAAATTTGCATGTAATTATTGTTACTGTTTCCTGCCTAAGGTTAAGAGGTTAGGCCACTAGCCTAGTTTAACTAGTCAGTGAGTGGCAGAAATAAAACCTAGTCCTACAAATATTCCTTTGAGGCATTTTCTACCACTTATCACTGGTGTAGAGAGGAGATTCAGAATAGCCCCCTGAACTGTTAATTTTGTTACGAGTGATAATGAGGTTATGGTTATCTAGGAAACCATAGGAAATATGGTTTGATTATCCTCCTTTTTATGTAGATGCCTACTAAAATTTAGGGGTAATAATATCATATATGTTCCCAAACGTTTTTTGATGAAGGAAACATGATTGGTTAAATCTAGGTGATGGCATCTGGGTAGGCATTGTGTAAGTATATTCTCTCTACTTTTCTACGTATCTGAAAATTTTTCATACTGTAAATTAAGGAGTGGGTGGAGCAGAGAACCTTGTGAACAAAGAAGTTCCCAAGTTCAAGGGAGGTGAGGGTGTTCAGCTATGGCCTGGGGGCTCCAGGGGCTGCAGGGCTAAACTCTGGAAAGGGGGCGGTTTACTGCAACATCATCCCCTGGCCAGTCTGGCACGTGATGAGGATTCTCTGTGGCCTGTTTCAGACACGGACAGCTGTGAGCGGTGGATGAGCTGCAAGAGCGAGTTCTTAAAGAAGTACATGCACAAGGTGATCAATGACCTGCCCAGCTGCCCCTGCTCCTACCCCACCGAGGTGGCCTACAGCACAGCCGACATCTTCGACCACATCAAGCACAAGGACTTCCGCTGGAGGGATGCCAGCGGGCCCAAGGAGAAGCTGGAGATCTACAAGCCTACCGCCCGCTACTGCATTCGCTCTATGCTGTCCCTGGAGAGCACCACGCTGGCCGCCCAGCACTGCTGCTATGGTGACAACATGCAGCTCATCACCAGGGGCAAAGGGGCGGGCACGCCCAACCTCATCAGCACCGAGTTCTCGGCGGAGCTCCACTACAAAGTGGACATCCTGCCCTGGATCATCTGCAAGGGCGACTGGAGCAGGTACAATGAGGCCCGGCCTCCCAACAACGGACAGAAGTGCGCGGAGAGCCCCTCAGATGAAGATTACATGAAGCAGTTCCAAGAGGCCAGGGAGTATTAAGAAGACGCTACCAGAATGTTCGTGACACAAATGCACTGCACTGATCTGCCTCCTGGCCCAGAGGCCATCTCACCCGCATGCGTGTATGTGTGTATATGCCACGTGAGTATCTGTGTAAATTACACTAGGGGTGTGCTCCAGGCCCCGTGACTGCCATCTGAAGCCACCACTGTGGTCTTCAGTGCCTACAGACCTCCCTGGAGCTCTTCCTAGGGGTGATGTCCACAAGGAGGATGGGGACAAGGAAGCGGGAAGAGGACCCTGGAAGCCACAGCGGGCAGGATTCAAGTCACACCCCGGATCCAGTGTTTCTAAGGGAAGCAAAAGGCGAAAGAAACTGAAGTTGTAAACGTGATAAGCAGTTTTTATATATAACTTATTTAATGTGAATGTGACTTATGCCTAACCTTTTCTCTGGAGTTGTCAGTCGTGAAATTATTTAATCACTTCCAAGAGAATTCAGAAGGAGGCTTAGGGAGGTGGAAGAGAAAGAGAATTTTCTAGTGATGACTCCTTTAAAAAATAAATAAATCAATGGAAATATATCGAAACAAGAAAACGCCCACCTTAAACCAAAGGTTATTTAGTCATGAGGTACCTTGCTGGAGTCTCAGCTTCCAAAATGCCCTTGCCTCAGACTGAGTAGAAACTGGGGGGCAAATGGGCATTTTGGAAGCAAATCTGAGGCCTGGTTTTAAATAGGCTTTAAAATAAAAGCCGATATTAGCACAATGCTATGATTCTACTAAAAGGACCCAGAATGGCAGAATTTCTGCTCATGCCTTAGTCGGTTTAGAAGGCTGCAGGAAGGCCAGACGTAAAAATAAGGAGTTAGCACTTTTCCAAAGGAAAAAAGCAAAACAGATAGGAAAAGAACATAAACCTCATTTCACCTATTTTATTTTAATACCATCTTAATATTTTTCTCGACCAATATATGCCCAATAAATAAATATAAAAAAGAAAAGGAGACCTCAAGTCTAGAAATTTCTAATTTTTTATGTTTTAAGAAAGGAAAGAAAACTACATTATTTTTGTAAAGTATTTATTGAGTCGCTGAGTCTTGTGCATCAAGCAGTGATAATATGACCTGGTTCTGTAGGGTGGAACTTAGGATAAATAAAGAGTTGGTTCTCATGCAGTCCTTACTTGCAAAACTCCAGGAAAAGAGATTATATAATAAAATCATAATAACATGTGTTACCTGCAGTTAATGTGTGACCTGCAAATATTTATGATACAAATTCCCTAAATAGCCCTGGTAAAGCAGGACTTTAAGGCAGAGGAGAAGAAGGTTGAAACCACGTAGGAATAAAAGGCTCATTGACTGACGTGATGGTGGGTGGCGCAGCTCATAGCATCTTTGGCAGCAAGAACATCGACCCGGCCCCCAGGAGGTTGAAGCTCATTGACACCATGTGACTTTTTGCCCACCCAAAGCAAAGGCTTAAGACAGCCCAGGTGAGTGGGACCATTTCCAGACAAAACTTTGCAATTACAGTAGTAAGTAGAACTCCTCATCAGGCAAATTATTCCTTTTCCAGATGAGGAAACCAAAGCTCAGAAAAAATAAATCACACTGGGCCCATCCTTCATTTCCTAGCCTAGTGCTCCTTTGACAATATCAAGTGTGTGACGTCCTTATATTCCTGGTGTCTTTGGTATTCCTGATCCTACCCTTAGGTTCTCTTAATAAAATCTTGTTTTTATAGAAAAGCTCTTATCAGTCTTTACACATTAGAATGTGTTCTCCACGTATTGCCCACTCTCAGGATATTTATATTTAAGATCTGTTTCTAATTATAGAATGAGAATACTTATTCACATCTGAAGGAATTTTAGGCGAAGGAGAAAACCAATAGTTCCATATATCAGGGAAGCAGATTTGGTTCCTAATAATAGGAAGACCATTTTTGCAGAAGGTTGGTTGCAGTGGAATGCATTGCCTTTGGGAGGGTGAGGACCCTGTCAGGACATGTACTTGAGCCGAGCTGGAGGTGAAATCACATGAGAAGCTCATTTTAGAGATGAGAAGAGACAAACACGTGCGGCAGGAACCCCCTCTGATAAGCGTTCTATGAAGGGCAAGTGGAAAGTACTCTGGGAAGACAGAGGCAGGAATCAGGGAAGCACCTGTTGGCTCTAACAGAGGAGTGGTATTTCACAAAGCAGAGAAGAGGGAGCGGAAGTAGTTGCATTTGAAGGAAGAAAACAGTACTGACAAAGGCAAGAAACTGGGCGAGAGCTTGGTGTTTTCTGAAAACTGTGGGGTTTAGCCTGATGAACCAGAGAGAGAAGCATGACGAGTTATGGAGCCACATCTAAGGTGTTTCTGTTAAGGATTTAGCATGGCAAATTAAAGCTCTTTCCTACTACAGTGAGAGTGACTGATAAGAGCCATGTTTCCAGTGGGCTGTTTTTGCCTCTTCATTTCAGACCTTATTGACATCATGAACAGAGAGTTGGAAGACGGGGTGAACTGGGAGCCAGGGGTGGCTCCTGGGCTCTTGGCCTACTGAGAACACTACTAGTCTCCCATCCATCATCCAGAGGTGCCACCCCTCTGGAAATTTTCTGAACTATGATCTGCCTGTATCCAGATGTATCTCATTCACTGCAGGGCCCCAGGCCAGCCCCAGGGTAACCCTGGGTAATTCCTTCATGGAAAGAGATCAGTTGCTCAAGGACCAACTTTGCCCACAGTGGGGGAGTCTGTCTGCCCCTCATCTGTAGCACCTACAAATATGTCCCCTCAGCAGCTGCTCTACAAACGCCTCTCATCGAATGCTCCGCTCCTTTGCCTCTCCTTGGGAAGAGAGCCCTTTCTCTAGGAATCCCCTGGGGCTCTCAGGTGCCAAGTCTGAGCAAGGCGATAGCGGCAGAGAAGCCACGGCCCTCTAGCGGCCGCACATGGAAGGTCAAGGGCGAGGGCCCGGAAGAGCTGGGCTTCCTCTTCACCTCTTTTATTCAAGCATCCGCCATGATTAGCCTCTGAGCCTTTCCATCTTTGTAGCTCAGTGGCCAGAGGGTAGAGTTCCCCAACCTAAGACCAGGGATCAAGGGTCAAGGAATAGGCACAATACCAGCCACCCTTTTCTGAGCACACACCTTGCGCCCTGTGCTGATCACTTCACCCTGAGAGGCAGGCTGATCACATCCATTGTACAGACAAAGAAAAAGAAGCCCAGCGAGGCCCTCTAACTTGCCCGAGGCCAGAAGGCTCGGTAAGTGACTAAGCTGGCTGAAGCCCTTTCTGTCTCATCACCAAGCCCATGTTCTTGACCTCATCCCCTACTCTCCCTACTCTCTTCCTAACTCTGCTCAGTTCTCTCATAGCCCATAAGAGGATTTTAATCCTGTATCCAAACCCTTGCTCAGGTTGGGTGACTAGCAGAGCGTGACGTTTCTAGAAGACAGACCGCCCCACAGATAAGAACAGAGGCTGGTCTGCTTCCCCCACTACACCCGAGCCCCGTGCCAACTGTTGCCTGTTGGGTAGACCTCGGGGGCAGGTGCCATGTCTTGTGCTTTCCTACGTCCCAGCGCCTAATCCTGTACCTGGCAGATGTAATCAGGCAACAGAGGGCTGAAGAGTTTGAAGACTGAGTCAGACTGCCTGGATTCCAAGCCTGGCTCCTTCACTTGCCTGGTGAGAACCATTGGATAAGTTAATCAGCCTCTGATTCCAGTTTCTTCATGCAGTTGTTTTGAGAATGAAATAAGTGAAAAGATATGAAGTTCCCAGCACAGGGCCCGTCCAGTAGGACCATGTGCAGTAAAGATTGGGCACTGGTGTTGAGTCATTGGAGTCATATTTATTGAGCACGTACTAGTTACCAGGCATTGTTCTAGATGCCAGAGATACAGCAGTGTCCAAATCCAAGTTTTTCTGGTGGATGGGAGACAGCTGATAAATAAATGCATAATCTGAAATAATAGTAAATGGTATAAGGAAAAATAAATTATTTGCTCACACATGTATGTTGCATTATTTACAGTAATGCTAGTTTCTGTAATAGATAGTCTTCAAAATCACAATGGCTTAACACAAAAACATCTAAAGGGTGTGTTTCTGGTCAAGTGGTTCTCTTCTCAGCGATGACCCAAGGACCCAGGCTCCTGTCTTCAAGGCATGACTCTCTAGGACACCTTGGGGGGCACCTCTATGCCAGGCTGCCGAAGGAGTAAAGAGCAGGGAGAGTCTGTGTCAAGACCTGGATAGGGGGCGCGGGGAAGCACAGCTGTTTCCTGCCACACACATCTCTAGGGGAAACTGGGAAATGGAGCCCAGCTGGGGGCCCGGGCGGCAGAGGTGGGCTGTGTGAGTACCCAGTCAGTCTCTGCCACACTGGCAGACCACCAGCTAACTCATTACACGTAGGCAGGAAAGAAAGCTGGTGGAAGGGGTTCTAGATGGGCCTAAAGTTAGTGACCCAAGAGGTAGAGCCTTCCACCCCATTCACCTCCTTCCACATTGCACCATGGTTCCCAACCAGCCCTCAGTTTATTGTCTGTAAGTAGAGATGAGACCACCTGTCCTGTCTACTCAGTGGCAGATAGGTGCTTTGGATGTCTCACACTTTGGATCCCTTGGCACCTTTTGTATCTGCACAGAGCAGCCCAAATTTAAGCTGGCCGCTCCTACATCAGTCACCTGATGGCGTTACTCTAGCTGCTGGGGCCCTCAGCTCGCACAGTGCAGGCTGAAGTGCCAGGGAGTGAACAGAGTCCCCAGGAGACACAACAGGAACTTGATGGATGAATAACCCATCTTCCGCATCCCTCGAGTGGGGCAATTCTGAGCATATTTTATACCACGCCTGGGGCTCCCAGTGGGCCTGAGCTCCAGTCACCACGGTGGTAGCCTGCTTGCTACCACTACTTATTGGCCTCCTTCCCTTCCTGTCTATCTCCCCCACTTCCCTACTAGAACCATCTCCCAAATAAGCTACTTGCTCGGTTCCTTCTGTCTAGATCTGCTTCCGGGGCGGGGGGGGGGGTCCCCAATCAAGACATCATTTCATGCTCTAATACTTACCTCATTATTCAAATATAAGTTTGTAATAATTTAATTGCCATCACACTCATGTGAGATGAGGTTTTGCGTTGGTTACAGCTCTTCCAGAAAAGAAAATTCAGTCTCATTCTGGCCAGAGATAGAAGCTCTCTGAGATTTCAATACCATTTAGTTTTTCCAAATTAAAAATAAAGCCCCAGTTTTTATGATTAGATTCAACAGGCAGAAAATGATTTTGCCAAATAACCTCTAAATATTTGTGAACACCCTTTCTTAATTTTTTACTTCATCTCCTTACTGACTGAGACCAGTCCTGCTCCACGGACCACACTTTGAGTAGCGCTGCTCTCTCTAACCGCCTGAGTGACCGAGGTCGACACCCCATGAGCATTGATTCTAGCCCGATGGACAAAGAGTCATGAAAAGGCTTCCCAGGAAGTGTGTGTGGGGAGGGGAGGGGCCAGGGTTATTTCTTTGTCATCCATTTACAATTTCCGATGGAAAAATGTGTGGGTTGTCACCATTATGCCTGCACGATTTCAGACAAATTAAAGGCTTGCCTCAGTAATTGCTGGGTGGGTATATACAGAAACATACTTCCATGTCCACAGACCCTGGATACAGTAGTGTAAATTAAGGCAGAAAGCTTACAGTCGGTTGCTTTTCTGAGGCTTAGCTCTGATTTACTCTATGGGATTAAGAGAAGAGGGGCTGTTTTCCAGAATTGGAAGGTAAGACTTTTCAGGAACAAATTTATTGGACTAGCAACTCTTTGTTGAACCAGAAGAACAAAGCTTAGATACAGACCGTTTTCTTTCCTTTTCTTTTTTTCCCCAGATCTCCATGTAGAGATTTGAAAAGTCAACATACAAAGACCATTGCCTTGCCTGTAATGGCAAATATAGAAACATCGTTAACCATTTTAGCAGCAGGGGAATTGGCGGGGGGACTGGGTTGAGACACAGCTGCAAAAGCAAAGCTGGGTAAGAGTTTTATGACATTGTTAATTTTCTATCTGTTCTGGGGGTGATAAATGTGCCCTTATAGATATTCAATGATTGTCCTCAAGATGAAAAAAAAAAAAGCTTTTAAACGTCACAGAAAAGCCTTTCATTCTCGAGGTGTGTAATTCATGGATGATTTCCAAAATGTCATGTTTGAATTGGGAAAGTAACATTCCTTAAAGTAATCAGCCAATTGCTTCGAGAATATGACTCAAAGGATATAAAAAATTTCAAGCCTGACTTTTAAAAAAGAAAAAGGAATTCTTTTTTCTAGGCAAGTTCCTAAGTTTATTTTCACAAAGGTCATGGCTAAATGTGAGGTTTATTTGCCATGGAAGGAAACAGTCTAAATGAAGTACACTTCTAATTCCTTATGGAGAGGGAAAGGTAGCAGATCTTAAGAGACACCATTTAAAATTTTTATATCACTAGACGTGTAGTTTCACTTTGTTTAACTGTAACCTCCGTTCTAGTCCCCACTTGGTTGTGTTTTGGGGTTTTGTTTGTTTGTTTTTAACCTTTGGATTGCTGAAAAAATGGAGAAGGAGAGAGAAAAAAAAATCCAGGATCTGCCGGGATGAAATTCTCTTTGGAACCTCTAAGTACTGACTGCCCTGTTTTAACGTGAATAAAGTGAGATGTTTACAAAGGGGGACCTGGAGAGACCTGCACTGTTGATGTACCTGTCCCCAAGGAGCCTTCAAATCCCCCTTCAAGGGTGGCTGGGTCCTGCCCAGCCAAGACCAGTAAGAGATTTCCAAAGGCCTCCGGCCTGAGAGCTATGTGACCAGGACTCCTCCTGTCAAAAGGGAGCAAGGTGTCCTGTGCTGATTGGCTGTGGAGGGTAGAACTTTCTGGTAAGAATGTTCAGGGTTCACATGTGGAATCCAAAAATAGATACAAATGAACTTTGTATCTATTGTTTTGTTTGTTTACAAAACAGAAAGAGATAGACAGAAATTTATGGTTACCAAAGGGGAATGGGGGTGGGGAGGGAGAAATTAGGCGTTTGGGATTAACAAATACGCACTACTATATATAAAACAGATAAACAACAAGGGCTACTTTATAGCACAGGGAACTATAGTCAGTATCCTGTAATAACCTATAATGGACAAAAATCTGAAAAAAAGTTCTCTTATACATATATAAATGAATGACTTTCCTGTACACCTGAAACTAACACAACATTGTAAACCAACTATACTTCAACAAAAAATAATACAATTTTTTATAAAAAGAATGTTCAGGGTCCTTTCCTGAGGACTCTGCTGAGTGGAGGCCAAGGCTACCTGCTCCACGTCTCAGGAGAAAGCCTGCCTCTCAGCCTCTGGTGAGCGCTCCCTCCTGCTATCACAGGATGTTATAAATAAAGAAAAAGAGGAAGGTGGGATCCGGTGCTGGGAAGACAAAGGCTGGCTCACCACTCACCAGCAGCAAGTGTAAGGAACCGAAGTTTGAACTAAAAGTGCAGCCTCCCTCGGCCTCCCCTTCTCTGCTTTTTCTCCACCTGCACCTCTCCAAGCACCTTCCTCTCACTCCTCTCCCATCCCCTCTCCACCCAGTTGGCCATCTGGTAGCCAACTGCCATTTTTGGAGCCAAACTTTCTTTTAAATTATTGTTAAAGTATAGTTAATTTACAATGTGTTAGTTTCAGGTGTACAGCAAAGTGATTCAGTTACACATATACACATATATACACATTCTTTTTCATGTTCTTCTCCATTATAGCTTATTATAAGATAATTGAAACTAGTTCCCAGTGCTCTACAGTAGCTCATTGTTGTTCACCTATTTTATATATAGCAGTCTGTATCTGTTAATCCCAAACTCCTAATTTATCCCTCCTCCCCCGGAGCCAATCCTTTTTTAAAGATTCTCTTTGAACACTTTATTCAAGCATAGCATGCATGCAGAAAAATGCACACCTATCGCAGGTGCACGACTACATGAATTTTCATAAAGTGAACACATATGTAACCAACGCTCATCACAAAGATCAAGAAATGGAACAGAAGGCTGTCAAGGGACTCTCTGCGGGGATAGAAATGTTCTAGGTCTTGATCATGGTGGTGGCAACACAACTGTAAGCATTTGTCAAAACTCTCTGAATTGTGCACTTCAGAAATCTGAGTTTCATCATGTGTAAATTTTACCCCAATATAAACTAAAGAAAGAAAACATCCCCAGCATGCCATTTCCCCTCCCAGTCAGCACCCACTTTGCACTGAAAGTCATCAGTATAATGACTGCTGAACTTAGATCAGTTTTGCCTGATTTTGAACTTCTGGTAAATGGAATCACACAGCATAGGCTCCTTGAGACCTGGCGTCTTTTGCTCCACGTCATCTTCCACGCTGGTCCTTGCAGCTCTAGGTCCTGCAAGTCCATCACTGCCCGGGGTGGCTCACGTCTATTTAATCATTCTCCCAGGGATAGACATGTGGCTGGTTTTGAGCTTTTGCAAACAGTGCTGCTGTGAACAGTCCAGGGTGTGTCTTTGGTCCTCATGCACACAGCACTTCTGCTGGGAGGGCAGCGCTACTGCATACTGCCCAGGGGTTTCCCGAGGCGGTCACACTGGATGCCACTCTATCCAGGAGTGTTTGAAGGTTCCGATTCTTTGCCCAATCTTGGTTCTATCCTATTCACTGTCTGTTCTGTTGTTTGATCTCTTTGTTCTTACATTTAAGTCAGCACGTATGTGCTGAGCAACTGAGCACCAACTGTGTGCCACTCACCATTCACCATGCTAGGAACCAGAGTCACAAAAAGGAACGGATGGGAACCCTGTCCTAAACAAATGGTTCGGAGCAGCTGACTAACGCAGATGACTATAATATGATGTGATGGGGCTCTGGGACCAGACGAGGACATGGTTAATCCCGGCAATCGTAATTAATAACCCAGATTTGCCACATTTTATTTAGGAAAACAAATCTGACAATACCAAGTGTTGGCAAGATGGTGAGAAAACAGAAACTCTTTAGCACTACTGCTCGTGGTGATGTAAGCTGGAGAACAATTTGACTATACCTAGTAGAGCTGAAGGTATCACGTAGCAGAATTCACCAATTGCCCTCCTGAGGGTCTTTTTTGTATTATCAAACATTGGAAATAAGTAATATTGTCCACCAACAGAGGAATGAGCAAGTAAACCATGTTGTATTCATAAGATAGAATACCTTCCATCTGTTAAATGAGCTGGAGCCAGGCTCATCACAGACGTGTCATAAAACTGTAATAGGGAAGAATAAATCTGACTGTATATTAGATCTGTTTCTTTTACTTTAAACTTTGTATTCTGTTGGTTGTTAATCACTAAAGGGATGTTGCCAGAGGCTGGTTTGGGGCAGGCAGAGTGGGGTAGGTGTTCAGTAAGCGGGCTTTTCAGCCTTGGGTGGGATCCCATGACCCCAGAGTTGGCAGGGTTGTTTGTTTGTTTGTTTGTTTACTGTCTCCTGGCTCCCCTGGGAGCTCAGCTCCTCGGGCAGGATCACAGGGGGCAGTGGGGACCCTGACCCAGCAAGGCAGGACCAGCGTGGGGCCTCTGTCCGGTCATGCTGGCTTTGGGACCAGGCTCCCAGTCCAGTGCTCTGTTTATCCCAGACAGTGTGCGCGAGAGAGGAAGGGAGCAGTCGGCAGAGGAAGGAAAGTGGTGGTGGGAGCAGGTGAACGCTGAAAAGCCCCCTTACTGAGCATCTTTTTCGTGACGGACACTGGAGGGGGAAATCACCACAGTCACCTTTTAAAAATGTCCCAGGTGAGGACCCCAAGGCTCAGGGAGCAGAGAGGTGCATCCTCCATCACACGTTAAGATCCATTTTTAAACCTCCCAATCCATCTTTCTTCTCTCACCTTTTGAGCTTCCCACATGGAGCAGGTACTTCTGTCCCACCCTGCCTACCCCAAACTGGCCTCCGGCTGGAGTGAGAGTCAATGAGATTTGATTCTCATCCAAGTGCCTTCCAAGTTCAAGAGAGGCCCCTGACCCCACAGTCCCTCCTGCAGCCCGTCCCGCAGATAACAGAGGCCTCAGCACTGCTATGCCTGCCCACAGACTTCTGTCACAGGCTGCTCCGCCGAAAATCAAATTGCAAAAAACCAAACAGGGTAAGAACAACTAGACTATGAGCAACTTCCAGCTTCCTCTGGGTGAGCCAGATGTGAGCCCGGCTGGCAGGTGTTTCTGCCTCTAGTCAGAAAGTAGAAGTTACAGGAACACCAGGGGCTGCCCACCCACATCACATCTGTGCCTCCCAAAGGCCAAGGGTGGAGGCAGGAGCCTCACTTAACCCTAACAGGGGACAGTCACCTGGAGAGAGGGAGGAGAGAGCCGGACAAGGCACAGAGGAGAGAGGAGAGAGCTAAAGGGAAAAAAGAAAGGTGAAACATGGCTTAGGGAAAAAAAAAAAATCTTACATTCTGTCTCACCTATTTGTTCAAAAAGAGATTGGATTTCAGAGTTCTAGGGTTGCTCTGAGGCCTGAAGATATGAAGGGGAAAATGACTACTGTAAGTTTATCCCCTCCCCACTACACCTCCCCCTCCCCAGGAGTGGGAGAGGCCCATGAAGGCATCTCGTCCTGTCATCCCCAGGCCTGTGACCTGCGACACAGCATGGCTGGAGTCGGCTTAAAGGAAGAGGGCTGTCAGACCAGCACGGGTCACAGAGAAATGGCTCAGGGCTTCTGTGAAAGCACTTGAGGTTTTTGAAAACCCCACCTAAGAATTACGGGCTAGAGAATCTGCCCAGCCTGCTTTGAAGAGGTGACCCACATCCTCAAAGTCAAAGGCTGGGGGGCAGGTGGTCAGCAGGTGGCGCTGCAAAGAAAGGGGCCCGGGCTCCCCATCCTGTGGGAAGTGGCTAATACTCAGGTCCCTGGCCCCACGAACCATGCCCTGCAGTGAGAGCCCCCACCCCACCCCAGCACTGCTAAGGAGCTGGGGGGCTCTAGAAGAACACAAGAAGTTACCTTTTTTCTTAGAATTAAGGCGAATCCCTGGAAAGGATGCTAGAGCAAAAATACTCCTCAAATTCCCAAGAGAGTTCAGACTTCATTAGCAGAGTTCTGTAAAGTACACTAGTTTTGTGTTTGAGGAGATATTTTAACCCTAAAAGCATTAACATCATCCTATGTTTGCAAACCCAAGGGCAGAACCTAGAGATAGATGGTACCAGTCAGGGCTCAAGGTTAAAACAAGAGAACTTAACTCTGGTTAATTTAAAGAGAAAGAATGCATACTGGGCAGATAGTAGGTAGCGTTAGAAAGATTCTAATGAATAAAACCACATCACGTATTATTTTAGAGGGATGCTCTAACAATTAGAATCAGGCTTACCACATTAGGTTAGAGAGAATCAAGGTAACCATGGCTTAAATAAGATAAAAGTTTATTGCTCTCTTGTGAAAAATAAGCCTGGAAGTAAATAGTCCCAGGTAGGTATGGGGTCCAAGGCCCCTCAGTCTCATTGTTTGACATTTCTCTTCATGCAGTTTCTAACTCATGACGTAAGATGACTGCCCAAGCTCCAGCCATCACGTTCATATTCCTGCCACAAAAATAGAGGAAGGAGTAAAACAAGACCTCCCAGAAGTTGCAGACACCTTTTCTCTTTGCATCCCATGACCAGAACTTAGTCATATAACCACACCTAGTTGTAAGAGACAACAAGGAATATCATCTTTATGTGGGGCAGCCACAAGCCCCAGCTAACAAATAAGGATTCTGTGACAAATAAAGAAGATGCTGGAGAGAAAATTAGCAGTTTCTTCCACAGGGCTTTAAACCCTATGAACCCTGACCATGACAACTGTAGTCAAAATACCTGTGTCATGTGCTCAGACCAAGGGCCCCTCCGCAGCATGCCACATCAAGCAGGGCTCTTCCTCTCTGGGTAAGTGATGACTGCTGGGCCCAAGGCAAGAAGTAGAACTTCCTGTTCCAGGAAGTTCCAGAACCCTGGCCCCACAGCATCTAAAACCCTCAGTAATGTTGCCATGTAAACGTGACGCTTGTCCCTTGGCCCAGACTTACTGCCTCAAAACCTAAGTTACACACAGGGACCTGCTGTGTTTAGGCCCCCATCCAATCCCCAGCACCTAGCCCAGGACCTGGTTGGCTCACTCAAAGAAATGTTTGTGAAGCTGATGAATAAATTGCTATATTCAACTGCCTCCCACATAAATATGTGACTATTTTTTGTGTGCATGTAAATATTTTTAATACTCTTGAATTCATAAATTCATAACTTTTTTCCCCATGTGTGTTTTCTTAGTGAATTTCTAAGTGTGTATGTGTTGGGCTGGTGGGCAGGCAGCAGAGTCAGAGTCTTGGACCTGACTGCCTGGGTTTGAATCCTTGACCTGCTGCACACTAGCTGTGTGATTTTGAGTAAGATACTTAACCTCTCTGTGCCTTAGGTTCCTGGTTTATAAAATATGACTAGCAAAAGGTACTGTTTGTTGCTCAAAGGTTGTCATGAAAGTTTAATGAGTTAACACTGATATTATGTAAACTCTGTGTGTGTGTGTCATTTAGAACAGGGATCAGCACAAAAGGTTAAATAAAATAAAATGTTAAAAGTGCAAATCCCCTTTTGGAAAGTCTTATGTTTTTAATGTCATAAAGAGATTCTCTTCTGAACAAAGCTGGAAAGCTGTCGTCTACCGAGCCTAGATGATTTTCCATTTGGCACCTCTTTAGGTTCAATCATTTCTGAAATTTGCCCCACGCCCAAGGACACATCACCTCATCACTATCAAAGATGATTTGTGGCGCATCTCCTGGGTGTCCAGATCTAAGTTAAAGAGTCACAGAGAAGAGACTCCCCCTGTACCCCTCACCACCCTGTTGTCCTGGCCCACAAACCCACGGCAGACACTGTATTTCTCTCCAAATCCTCCACCTGCCAACTGGCTCACTTTGGAGCATCCCAGCAGCTGACTCTGTTGCAGACACAGACCAATTTCCTTTGATGCCCAGGACCAGACCAGGTCCAGATGAGGCTCTCAAACAAAGCTTTGTTCCTAAACAACTTAAGAAGAATTACAGGAGAAGAAGGGCTCTATTTTCTCAGGCTCCTTTTCCTGCTCAAACAGAAAGAAAAACTCAAGCCACAGGGAGAGACCAGTTGAGACAGATAGAAACAGATTTTGAGAAAGAGACAGTAGCACAGGACAAGGAATGGCTGCAGAGCTTAGATTACTGCCTGAAAGATGATGGGGGTTGGGGGTGGGTACGTGATCTTTATCTAATCAGGCAGTCTACCCAGGAAGTCCCTGAGATCAAAGCAAGGGGGCTTTTTATTTAGCCCTGTGTCAACTTAAAAACAGTTCTGGCAAAGTCACAGATCTGGACAAGCTCACACCTCTCCCCGCCCCCACCGCCCTGACCTGTCTCTCGGCATCTGAACCCTCTTAACATTCCACTTGGAATAAAACCCTGGGATGGAAGGAGTCCCCGGATTACTGCAGGAAGAGGAGACATTGGACAAAGCCAGGCAGAAAACGCTGGGTGAAGCCACCGTTCTTCCTGGCCCCCCAGAATGACGAGGTGTGTGCTCCAGGGGAGATGGCGCCATTTCATTTCTCTGGGTAGACTCCCCGCCACCCACCATCCCCTTCCATCAAAGGTGTCCTGAAAAGTACACGGCCACTTGTCACAAGCCTGCCAGGCGTGTCAGGACAACTCTGAGGAAAAGCGGGTACTAAGGGGGAGCAATTGGACTGTGACGTGGGAATCACAGCTACAGTCCCCAAATCTTCCTTGACCCAGAGGATGAAGGGATGGGTAAGGCCAGGGTGCCATGGGGTCACGTAAATCAGGGCATACACAAAGATCGAAAAGATAGGTGCTGAGGAGGCTGGAGACTGGTCCAATAGGAGGGCGGTCACTTCTTAGAAATATAGTGAATCTCGGGGAACAGGACAGGAAATTTGGAATCACACTACAAAGGTCCAAAGAGCCAGGGACCCCCTTCGACGCATGACCATGGAGAAAGCTCTGCGCCGGCTCCCAGTGCAGCTCATGCCCTTGTACCCATCTCTTCCCAAAACAAACCCTACGGACAGAACTGGTCATAAGAAAGCGACGACTTCCTGGTCATTTACTCTGTTAGGCACTTTAAATATGTTTTAATAAATATAATTTTATTAATTTTTAATAAATTATCTTATTTAATCTTTATAACTACTCTATGACTACACTTCCATTTGATGAACTGGGTTCATCAGTTTGGACCTAATTGTTCTTATACGTGCCATGGACTGCTTCTAAAGTTGATTGTTTAAATAAATTTTTAAAGAAGAGTAGTTAATATTCACCCTGAAAGAAAACTGTGTTCTTCAAACCCAACAGCATGAAATGGAGGCTTCCTCACAGAAGAGAGGGCGAACCTTTTTTTGTCCTCTCCTCTGGACAGAATTAATTTTTTAATAGCCAAATTGAGGAGAAATGCATTATTCCTTGTGAGCCTTTCTGGGTTTCTATGTAGTCAGCTCATCACTTTTAGGATGTGTTTTTTTCTCTAAGAAGTATTTTCTGTTTCTTCCTTCTAATCAGGACAACTTGCACTAGAGAGGAATTAGAATTTTAAGCCAAGAAACATGTGAAGGAACTGCTTGATGTTCTGTGGGAAAACACTGCAAATTGCAGGCACCATCTCTGGGCTCTGGCTGTGAAAGCAGCATTAACAGCGCTCACTAATGCTCGCCTAGCCCTTCACAAATCATGTCGCCCTGGGCTGTGTCTGATTTCACAGCCCTGACCCACAGGTAAGGAGACAAATGGTGAGAGCAATGAAGTGACGGGGTTAAAAATACCTGGGACACTGTAGGGGTCATTTGCCTCATTATCTGTAAGACATAACTAAATGTGAGGTGTGTTTTTAAAATACAACTTTTAACTTCAGGATTTATGAAGCTTTAAGTGATGGGCAAAACCCAAAGGTGCAGAAAGAGGGTCTTGTCTATATTTTTAGCAGGAGCGGAGGATTTAGACTCACATCCTTTGGTCTCTCTGAAGACTGGTGGGTTTTAATGCAATTGGATGAGAGCCTGCAGGAAGAAAGTGAGCTAAGTTTCAGTTGGCTTTAATTATGCCCTAATCACGATCATCTACTTCAAATGTTTAGGAAGCTCGCGCTGCCACACATGGAAAGGGCTGGATGATGTAGGTCAAAGAGATGTCTACACAGTGTCTTTACATTTTCTTCAGTTTTCCAGGTACTGATCTCTTCTCAGGGCTGGTGCCAAGCCAAGTGGCAGAAATGGCCTCCAATACCTCTGCAGGAGACACCTACTAAACATATAAATTCGTGTATTAGACAATAGGTAGGTCTAAGCCAGAAGCACCCTTAGAAATCACCTAGTTTAAGTTTCCTATTTTCTAGATGAGAAAACTAAAGTGGGGATTGGGGGGAGCAGAAGGAGTCCTGCTGGTGGAGGAAAGGAAACACAAGGACTCAGATGACCACATATAACACCATTTGGTCAGAAGCGACTCTGTTTCTTTTTTGCTGCTGCTTCTCTTGGTGATCAGCTATTTCCTTCTATTCCCAAGAAACACATCGGAATGTTCTCTTTGTTTTATAGGAGGGTTCCAGCCAGGGAGCTTCTGGAGGCAAGGAACAGAGAGATGCTCCACTGGAGTGACTTCCAGGGCGTGCCCACGGGACAGCCTGGCAACTGGGAGGTGCCCCTGGGGACTCTCCCTTCTCCTGGGAAACGTGTGATGCCACAACTCAGACTGTTATCTTTTGTTCTTAGCAAGGGGTTAGAGGTCTCAGGTTCTTTCTGAAAAGCAAGGTTGCACATCTGTACTGGGAACACAAATCTGCAACATGTGTAAACCTCGTGCTTGAGACACTGTTGTTTACAGCTCTTGGTTGCTGGCTGGCTCTTCTGATGTCTGTCTCCCCTGTCTCCAGGGGAGAAACCTGTTGCTTTGATTCCTAAACAAGGCAGAAGATGCCATGAGAGGGCTCACGTCTGCTACAGGAAAGGCAATAAGGGGGGTTATAATGTAACTCACCTCTCCCTGGGCAGTTGCCTATTGTCCCCAGAGACATGACCGTGGACAGCCCCCCCACTGCTGCCATCAGAGAACAAACTCCCTCCAGCAGAAGCCAGATCCGAAATGAGCTGCTCTTCAATGAATCCCACCTGCGTCCAAACCCTGACTGTGGTTCATATGTATTTATTCATAATTCCCATTTGGTGAGCTGGGTATTTGGGCCTGGTTTTTCTTATTTTTCTTCTACATGCCATGAGCTACTTGTAGAGCTGCTTCTTAAAAGAAACTTTTTTTTTTAAAAAAAGGAGTATTTAACACTCTTTTGAACACTTGAAAGAAAACCTTGTTCTTCAACCCCAGCAGTTTGAAATGGAGGCTTCTTTATGGATAAAAAACAGTTTCATCAACTCCACAAAAACTCTACCTACCAGTTGCAGCCATTCCCTCCACCCCAGCCCCACCAACCCATGACAACCACTGATCACTATGGTTTTGTCTTTTTATAATGTCTTATAAACAGCTCTATACAGTGTGTTAATCTTTTGCAACTGGCTTCTTTCACTGGGCATAATGCCTTTGAGATTCATCCAAGTTGTGTTGTGTGTGTGTGTGTGTGTGTGTGAACGGTTCACTCTTTTCTATTGCTGAGTAGTATTCCAATGGATGAATATACCGCTGTTTATCCATCACCCATTAAACAGCATTAAAGTTGTTTTAGTTTTGGGAAATTATGAAAAGAGCTGCTATAAACAATAATGTACAGATTTCATTTCTCAAGAAAATGTCTAAATACCTGGGAGTGGGATAGCCAGGTCATATGGTAAATATATGTTTGACTTTTTAAGACACTAGCAGAAGATTTTCCAGAGTGACTGGACAATTTTGCATCCCCACCAGTAATATGTGAGCATTCCACTTGTGGAAGTTTTTCTCTTGTGTTTTCTTTAAAATTGTTTTTATAGTTTTGTATTTAACACTTACATCCATGATTCATTTTGAGTTAATTTTTGTATAAAGTGTGAGGTTTAGGTCAAGGCTTACTTTTCTGCATAGGATGGTAATTATTCCAACACCATTTGTTGAAAAAAACTATGCTTTCTCCTTTAATTATCTGTGTACCTTTGCCAAAAATCAGTTGATGCTACTTGTGTGGGTCTTTTTCTGGAATGCTCTATTCTGCTTTATTGATCTATAAGCCTATCCTGCCCCCAGTACTGTCTTGATCACCATCGCTTTAAGGTAACTCGTTAAATCAGGTTGAGTTCACCAACTTTATTCTTCTCCAAAATTGTTTTGGCTATTCTAATTCCTTTAGTTTCCCATATAAATTGTAGAATCAGCTTGTCCTTATCTCAAAAAAAAAATCCTACTGACACTGTGATTAAACTTACATTAAATCTGTAAGTCAGTTGGGTACAAATGACAATTTACTAAGTGTAATCTTGCAATCCATGAACGTGATATGTCTCCCTATTTATTTAGAGCATGTTTCATTTCCTTCATAACATTTTGAAGTCTTAAGCATACAGATGCTGCACATTTTTTTTTAGATTTGTAAATTATTTCATTTTTTGCAGCTATTGTTAATAATCATTATGGGCTGAATTTTGTCCCTCCAGCATTCATATGTTTAAGTCCTAACTCATAGTACCTCAAAATGTGACTGTATTTAGAGACAGAGTCTTTAAAGAGGTAATTAAGTTAAAATGAGGTCATTAGGGTGGGCCCTAATCCAGTATGATTGATATCTTTACAGGAGCTTAGGGCACAGACACACACAGAGAAGACCATGTGGAAACACAGAGAGCAGACAGCCATCTACACACCAAAGTGAAAGGCCTCAGGAGAAACCAGCACCCTCAAAACCTTGACCTCAGCCTCCAAAATTGTGAGAAAATAAATTTCTGTTGTTTAAGCCACCCAGTCTGTGTACTTTGCTATGGCAGTCCTGGTAAACTTTATACAATACTCATTTTTTTTCAAGATCAGTTTCAGTTGTTCATTGCTAGTGTATAGAAAAACGGTTGATTTGTATTTACCTTGTTTCTCGTAACCTTGTTAAACTCATTTATTATTCCTATAAGCTTTTTTCTGGAGATTCCTTCAGATTTTCTACCTAGACAACCATGTCATCTCAAACAGGGACAGTTTTATTTCTTCCTTTCCAGTCTGAATGCCTCCTATTTCTCACCCTTGCTGCTGCAAAGGCGAGGAGTTCCAGTAAACTGTAGACTAGAAATAATATGAATAGACATCCTTGCCTTGTTCCCAATCTTGTAGGGAAAATATTCAGTCTTTAAACATTAAATATGTTAGGTGTAGGATTTCTGTAAAATATCATTCTCAAGTTGGAGGTGTTTGTTTTAGTCCTTGTTTGTTAAGAATGTTTATCATGAATGGATGTTAAATTTTGTCAAGTGCTCTTTCTGTATCTATTGATATGACCATGTGGCTTTTCTTCTTTCAACTGTTAATACATTGGATTTCTTTGATTAGTTTTTCAACATTCAATAAGTCTTGCATTTACTAGATAAGCCCCAACCGGTTTTAACCATTGTTAAATTTGATTGTTGAACATTTTTGTAGATTTTTCGCATCTGTATTCATGAAGGATATTGGTCTGTAGTTTTCATTTCTTGTAATGTCTTTGATTTGGTAATAATGGCCTCATAAAATGAGCTTAGAAATGTTTGCCTATTCCTTTATTTTCTGGAGGTCACTTTATAGAATTAGTATTATGTCTTCTTAGAATAACTAGTAGAGTGTGCCAGTGTAAAAATTGCAAGCCTGGAATTTTCTTTAGTGGAAACTTTTAAACTATGGATTCAATTTATTTACTAGTAATAGAACTATTCAGGTATCCCTTTTATCTTGAGTGAGTTTGGTAGTTTGTGGGTTTTGAGAAATTTCGTCATTCCATCTAGGCTGTAGAATCTAAGCACACTGACTTCCCTGTAGTATTCTCTTACTATCTTTTTCATGTTTGTGGGATCTGTTTTAACATCCCCTCTTTCAATCCTGATATTGGTCATTTTTGTCTTCTCTAGTTTTTACCTTTATCAGTCCTGCTAGAGTTGATTCCTTTCATTGATCTTTTCCAAGAAACGACTTTTGGTTTAGTGGATTTCCTCTACTGTTTTCCTGTTTTCAGTTTTATTGATGTCTGCTTGTATCTCCCTGATCACCTCCGTCCTTCTGCTTGCTTTGAGTTTATTTTGCTCACTCTCATTGCTGGTTTCATAACCTTGAAGCTTGGGTTGACTTCAGACCTTCTTTTTATTTCCTATGTTAAGCACTTAATGATTTATACTTACCTCTAAGAACTGTATTATTTTCATTCCACAATTTCCATATGCTGTATTTTCACTTTTGTTAAGTTCTAAATATCTTCTAATTCTCTGTTTGTCTCCTCTATTCCCTCAGTCCTCTGTTTCTCCTTTCCTGCCTTCTGCTGAGTGAACATTTGTAGTGCTCCAAGACATTGTACCCACATCTTACATTGACATTCCCAGCAAGCCAGTGGTGCTGTCCTCCTGACTCAAGGCACAGCCCAAAATAAGAAGAACATTCTGGAGTTTCCTGCTTTCAGAAAAGCCATCAGGCCCACATTTGAGAGAACACATTCCAATAGAAATAGGAGTGATTACTTACACTGTCAAAAGATTTATTTAAAGAGTCTGTAGTGGAGTATCCAGTCCCCCTCTTTTGATACAATTGCCTAGTTTTCTGTTGAAGAATCACCTCTGCTTCACTCACAGCTTTTGTGATTTAAATTATACGAATTTACACTTTTTAATTTTTGCTTAAGTTAGTAGATAAGTTTTTTGGGGTTCACTTGCAAAGAAAGGGTACTGATGACAACTACAAATTCCTATAAATAGGAAACTCCACTGTACTTTTAGGTTTGTTTTTTTTAACTTTACTTTCCCTTCTTTATTTGTTACTTTCCATGGCACTGGTCTGTGAATTCCAAGACTGAGACTGTCTCATTTATCATACAATGTTTTATGAGCAGTCTACATTTGTGGAATGAAGCCCAGGGCCACTGGTCTTCACTTGGGGTTAGTTGGGTACAGATGGGTCAGGGTGCAAATGACTGGTTGATTCCCTGAATGTAAAGAACATTTTCCTGAATGTGAGTGGGCTGATCCACAGGTTATTCCCCGCATTACTTCCTTTCTTGGCTGTGGCCATTACTGGGTGCTCACTCACTGTGTCCCTAGAGATCACAAAAAACATTATCCCATCCTGGACGACTTCTGACAGTGTTCTTTGTAGTTTTGAGATAGCGTTTACTTACTTCAAAGTTGCATTAGCTTGTGTTTGCTTATGTCTTTCATGCAGGGTTAACTATGTAATTTGGGGAGCTCAGTGCAAAATGAAAATGTTGGGTCCTTGTTCAAAAAACAAGAAAAAAGTGCCATTAAATGTACTTAGATATAAAGCTTTCCCTCTCTTCCACAAGTCTTCTTGACTTGTCATGGTGTTTTTTATTTGCTGTTTAATGTTATTCAAAGTAAAATTATTACATTGAAATTTTGTCATTCGCATGAATTTTACCATTCATCTCCGTATTGTGCACCACTAGTTTTAAGCGCAAATATAAGAGCGTTTAACTGGTTTGAGGAATCACAAAAATTATACAATTTGCATTTGATAATTCCCACATGTGTATGTATTTCATTCTTATCAGAAGAGCAGAAATGCTGCAAAGACTAAAGCATGTGTTCTAATTTCACTTCTCCATAAACTCACATTCTACCAACAGTCTCTGTTTGGGGCTTACTGATGAGTTCGCAAGGACAAAAGGAAGAGGAGATCGACGTTGTCCAAGCTCTCCCTTCCCCCTCCTGCCATTCAGCAGATGCAGTTGACTACTGCAGGGTAGGATAAGCTTTCTAGATCATTCATGTTTCTTACAAGCCATTTGCTTTTTCCTGCATTCAAAGCCGCTTCTCATTTGAAGGGAGAGTGTGGCCTCCCAAGGCTGTCAGCGCCCTCGCTCACTTTGTAGCCTGTAGAATCGCACACTGCGAAGTCCTGCAGAACTCCCACGCATCCCGAGCCCACCCGAGCTCCGCGCTCACAGGCCATGGCAAACACCCCGTGGGGATAAACAGCAGACCCACATGTTGTCCAGATCTCTCCTGCTAACATACATGCTCCGTTGCCCAGCTAGTCTTCATTTAGACACCAGTTAAAAGATAAAATGATTAAAAATGTCAAGGTAGCAACAGCAGAGCATTCAGCCAAGTACAGGGCCCTTCTGAGCCCGGGCCCCTGCAGCTGCCCAAGTTATACACCCGTGAAGCTGGCCTGGCATGTGTGTGTGTGTGTGTGTGTAGAAATAACCAATAAGGTGATTCTGTATTTTCTTTATTTGTTTTATTGTTCTGTCCACACTTGACCTCCTGGGAAATCTTCAGAACCCAGTGTGACATTTTGAGATCATTAACCACTTGACAGGGGAGGAGAGAGAAATTTAAAGCAAATGTGTCAGGAGTCACACCTAATCAAAGATCAATCCAAAACAAAGATAAAAGCACCTTGGAAATGAAAACACGAGTCAATAGCAAGACAGGGTTTGTTCCCAAACATTTTGGGAACAGGTCGATTATGTCAAGGCACACAGAGCCACCCTATAAAACATACTGAAATGAGAATATTCACATTTTTTCTACCTGCCACACTCCCTTCACCCTGCCTCCTTTTACAAAGACATAGTTCCATATATAAGCTACAATGTTCAAACATAAACAGCTCAGTGATGCAACTCAATTGTAGCTCACGTGAAAAACAAGTACCTCATTATTCTACCAACAAGGAATAAATCTTATGATAAAGTAAAGGTAACATACCTTTTATATATTATAAAGATATATTTCTTGTTTCATTTTTATTTTTGAAATCATGTAAAAAGACATCACACATTTAACTTCTTAAAAAGCATGTACAGATTTCTTTTTTTGTTGTTTGTTTGTTTTGTTTTTAACATTTTTTATTGACTTATAATCATTTTACAGTGTTGTGACAAATTCCAGTGTAGAGCACAATTTTTCAGTTATATATGAACATATGTATATTCATTGTCACATTTTTTTCTCTATGAGCTACCATAAGATCTTCTGTATATTTCCCTGTGCTATACAGTATAATCTTGTTTATCTATTTTACAATTTTGAAATCCCAATCTGTCCCTTCCCACCCCCGCCCCCTTGGCAACCACAAGTTTGTATTCTATGTCTATGAGTCTATTTCTGTCCTGTATTTATGCTTTGTTTTTGTTTTTTAGATTCCACAT